CCTCCTTCTTGTCCTCCGTCCTCATCGTCGTCGTCGCGGCGGGAATTTGGTTTCCCTCTATATTTTTGGGTTGGCTGGATAATGTTGGATTGTGTTCTCCCAGGGGAAACCCACTGTGTGCATCTTATCACGGGCATACCAATAGGAATCAGTGTTTACGGTTGTAGTCGTGATTGTGGTCGTGGTTGTATTCGCGATGGTAGTCGTGATTGGAATCCCGATTGTAGTCGTAATCGCAATTGTAGGCAGAGTCGTAGTCGTCGCCGTCGTCGACGTTGTCTTCGTCGTCGTCGTCGCGGCGGATAGTATTTTCCCACTAGTGTTCGCCGCGCTTTCCACTGCTGGGGGATTATTTAATCGCTTCGCTCATTCCGCCGGCCCGTATTGTGCCATCGCAGGCGTTTGCTTGCGCGTTCGTGGCCTCTCTTGGAGCCTCGGTGGGGCCGTTTGGGGCCTCTTGGCGCCTCTTTTTAGGCCTCTTGGAGAACTCGGGAGGCTTCCAGGGGGCCTCCTGAGCTCTCGTGACGGTCTCTTGGGGGGCTTTCCACTGCTGGGGGATTATTTCTCCCAGTGAATAATGATATCTGGGCTACCCTGCTCGACAGATGGACGTTGAATACGTTTGTAAGAGGATTGCCACAAAGATCGGCACTCATCCATCGCCGACATTAAGAGGATTTGTACGAGGATTGCATTCATCGCCGACGGCGTTTCTCACAACCTGTTACTCGTAGTCGTAGCCGTAGTGTAGTCGCATCGTTGTCGTAGTTGCAATCGTAGTCGTAGTAATAGTCGTCGTCGTTCTCGTTGTTGTGCGGCGGTCGCCGTGGAAAAATGAGTATGTCCTTTATTGGTGGGACCGCGATCCGTCAATCCTGGCGTCGGCAAGATAATTGGTTTCCATTTCCACTTTTTTCGGGATTCGAAAGACTTACAGAGGTTATGAGGAGCTCTGGTTAGGCGTGTTGGGAGAGCGTGGGCCCTCCAGCGCGATGGCTGGCACTCCGTCCCAGCGGGCCCTGGCGTCCCCGTTCGCGGTCGCAAAGGGCACCCACAGATTTGGGCACCGCAGGACATCCATAGTACCTCAGCCGCCCTGATACGCGGGTTGTGAAGCGCAACGCGCACCGTGTTCAAATCGTCCGTGTTGACACGTTGCGTGTTGGCTCGACGTGTTGGCCACGTCTTGGAGAACATATCGCACCCGACGTACCGACGTGTTCAGTCTACGCGCTGAGCTCCGTGTCAACACGCAGCGGGTTGCGTGCTGCGCAGCGGGGCGGCGAAGCATAGTGCTAGTGCATGTGGAGATGGCACGTGGCAACTTGCCATATTCCGAGAGCCACGTCCTCCTCCGGTGCGGGTTTAAGGATTTGCCCGGAACACTCGTGGAGCTGGCCGTTCCAGGTTTCGTGTCTCGAGTCCTGCCTGCCTCGAAGAGTCGGCTGGGCGACTGCCGCGGGTCGTCGCCACCCTTTCTCCCCTGCTGGACGAAACGCGTCGTCTTCCTTCTCCTCTGGTTCGCGGGGTCCCAGGGCTCCCAGGACGGGCCCCAGGAAGGCACAAGATGGCGTCAAGAGTGAGCTCAGACGGCAGACCGTTGGCAAACACATGTATGTTATCATCGGGTCTCGGCATTGTCTGCCCCCCCCGCCCCCCCTGCGCGCTTCGATCGATGATCGAGCATGGCTCCCAGAGGGCTCCGGTTCCTGGGGAGCCAACGAGAGACCAACGGGCCCCAAGAGGCTCGAACACGGCCAGGGGCTCTTCTAAGAGGGCCTCGATAATGCCGAATAGTGCGCTGGGGGGAGCGCCAGACGGCCCAAGAGGGCCCTAAGGCCGCCCAAGACCACGCCAAGCTCGCCCAATCCCTCATTCTTGCTCTTGCTCATCACCTCTCTCCTCCCTGCTCGACCCTGCTCCCTCCCCCTTCCCTCCTTGCCCCGCCTCACCTCCCTTCTGGGCTTGTGGAAGGCGCTGGAGGGGAACCAGCATAATGTGAAACATGTGCCGGCAAATCTTGCGTACTTGCGTTTAGTTTGCAAACCCCTCGTCCGAGCTCAAGCCCCCAGTCGCCTCTAAGACAAGGAGAACCTAAAACTGGTAGGCTCCTTGTTTCCTCATCCTCCTCTTGTTCCGCAATCGGTTCTCCTCGGCTGCGGAGACACCCAGCATTGACACAGCAGCATCGGTCTCAAGTGTCCGCAGTGCGCTGGTTATGCCTGATGCTGGGGCCAGTGCACCAGTCTTTGCCGCGACACATTAGCGTGGCGCGGACGCCATCGTTCGGGCGACATGCCGATCTACTCGTCATCTGGAGTTGCCTAGCATTGTATCCTACTTATCCTACCTATCTTTATACGTCCTCCCCTTGTTGGCCGCTTCTGCGGCAACTCTTCCTTCCCCAGCTTTCTGGAGTTTGGTCCTCTTTGCTCTCCGCTGCGCCGGGTGCCCACCTTTCAGCTGGAGGCAGTGGCTTTGTACAGCCTCCTTGAGGATCCTGTTTACTCTCGCCCCTCCTCCCCTCGTGGCCGTTTCTGCGGCAGCCCTTCCTTCCGCAGCTCCTGTGCAGTGGGACCCTCGTTTTCCCTCCGCTGCGCGGTGCGCCCACCTCCGCCCCACTCGAGGTGCTGCGGCGGCCGTGCAAAAAAGGTCTGCCGCAGTCGAGCTGCCGCCCAATCTCGGCATCCGCCCGTTGCCCTCGCAGCTTAGGCGGCAGATGCGCGCAGCCAAAACATCCCGCCGCTGCCAGCCTGCCTGCCGCTGCGCCGCCTGCTGCAACCCGGTACGCCCATCGCGCAACTCGCGACCCGCAGGGGGAGGGCCAGGCTGTAGCCCCAGCAGGCGCGCCCGCGTGCCGTCAGCACGCCCGCTTCGACGCACTCCTTTCTCGCTTCGTGGGCCCACGGGGAGCCCCGGCCGCAGATCCCCGGGGCGCGTCGCGCGGCCGCATGCCGCCGGCCCGCCCGGTCCACCCTTCGAACTGCGAGCGCCGCGTGCCCCACCTGGAGGCCCCGAGTGCAGCTCCCAGAGGGCGCGTGGCGCAGGCTGTCGGCGGCTCATCTGGGCGCACCTCTCACGTGCGCTGCGCTGCGTGGCCTCGGGTGCTCCACCTGCAGCCCCAGGTCAGCGCGCCGGCATGCCGTGGGCGCGCGCTCGCAGCCAGCACGCCCCGCCCGTGCTTCGTGTCCCACTGGGGGCCCCGGATGGCCGTCCCGGCGGGCGCTCCCGCATGCCTTCGGGATGTCCGGGTCGGCACAAGCCTTCATCGGAGCAGAGAAGCTTGCATACACCAAACGGTTCGGCGCTCCGCGCGGACTTCTTGGGTGCGGGCGGGGCTCCCCTGGCGGCGCCTTCGTAGAAAAGCCGCGCCAAGAGTGCGTCAGCGCCTCGAGGGGGGGGCAGCGCCGATCCAAGAAACCCGCAAGGACCACCAACAGTGTTCCCCGCATGGGCCTCCCCGCATGCTCTTCTCCGAAATCGCCGCTGGCGTCGACCCCTTTCCCGGGCGCGCGCGAAATCTTCTCGCGCGTTGAGCTCCCCAGTCACGGAGCCCCGAGCCCCAGTCACGGTCCCCGCAGGGCTCGCTGGCGTGCGTGCATCGGTCTGCGGCTCTTTCTGAGCCTCGTCTCGCGCATGTCGTTTTGCCACCCTCACCATGAAGAGGAGAGGTCCAGGCCAACAGATGTCGTGTTTCGCAGCTTTCCGCCTTGTGCACCGACCCCAGACCCCAAGATCGTCAAGAGGCGACCTGGGATGTGCGAGCAGCAGTACCATAGTGCGCAGCATCTGGCTCAGACCACACTTTGGTTGTGTAGCAGTCTTTTCCTGGCCCTGGGAGTGGTAGTCTGCCTCACATAATCTCGGCCCTGAAGCAAAGCAGGGTGGCCCGCCAGCTGGGAGAGATGCCGAGACTCGCGCACCTGCTGGCGGGCTCGCGCTGGCTCTGGATGTCTGTCTTTCTGGCCGCCAGTCAGGAGGCTTTGCGGCAGGTGTCGTTCAGCAATTTCAGGCCAGTGTCGCTTGACCTCAGGTGGGACGACGGCACTGAGAACGGAGTCAGCGTGGGCGAAATACCGGCCATGGACACCATTACTCTCGATCAGACATTCGTTGGCCACAGGCTCAAGCTGGTCCAGCCAGATGCAGGCAGCAGTCGGCTAAAAGTTGTGTCCCAGTTCGTGATGCAACCAGACCAGCAGGTGTACTTCGTGGAGCCGTTAGACGAAGATCGCCAGAACCCTGCGTTCTTGGGATTCCTCGAGGCTCAGAGAGGGGCCCAGACGCGCTCTGCAGCTCAATCGACCGTGGCGGATGAGCTGAAGGCGCTGCATGCCCGCGGCAAGTTGAGTGGAGTCAAGTTGCAGTCGCAGGTGCGTCCGAGGAATGTGCGTCCTGCGTTCGGCATGGTCATAAAGAACTTCCGTCGTGATCCATGTCGCATATTGGGGAGGCCTTACGGCTGGTGCCGTCGACCCTCTATGCCAGAAGGAAGGCAGATGGATCAGGTGGGCGAGGAGGAGGAGGAGGAGGACAAAAATATACATTCTAGGTCGGGGAGGGATTGGGTAACAACCCCCAGGGCCCTCCCAGGACCGCCCCCCATGGACTCCCTGGGACCTTCCCAGGCGACCTCCCTCTTGGCCCCGCCCTCCTGGAGAGAGGGGGGGTCACCTCTATGGCGACCTCTCTCCAGCCCCCCCTTCTGCGCACCACCCCCTCCACGAAGGGAAGGGATCAAAGGGACGTGGTTTCCCTTGTTGTCCTGGTCGGAGAGGGGGGGGCGGGGGGGCACAACTCCCCGGACCTTCCCCGGGGGACCCTGGGATCATTCCCCCGTCCCCCCCCACGGGCCAAGGGAAGGGACTTCCCTTGACTTCCTTACTACTTTGTTCGAGGATCGCTTGAGGAGGAGGGCCAACGGAAAGGGGGAGACCGACGACGACGACGACGACGACGACGACGACGACATCGGAAGATCATCGCACACACGCCGACAGGGTCGGCGGATTTTGGGATAAGCCTGGATCTATTGACGGTGTGTACAACGGGGACATCTCACCGATGAGCAGTACAGGCTCCATGACGACATACCCAGGAGATGCGTTCAAGATTAAATGCAATGACCAGTTGGTCGAGCGGTTCGTCATGGACCGCAACAGGCGCGTGTATGTGTTGGAGCCAGAGCCCTCAGACGAAAGCGCGCGTAGCAGTCCAGAGTATCTGCGGCACCAGCACGAGGCCAAGGTGGAGCAGGAGTATTTCGCCAGGACCGGCATGCCTTGGCTCGGGGCACATCCCCCTGACCCGGCGTCGAATCCCATGTACGCCGCCGGCAGCACCATTGGGCAGGTGGTCCACACCCTGAGCGTCCGAGGGCTGGAAGGGCCGCGCGACTTGGTCGCGCTGTCCTGGAACCCTGCAGGACCGCGGGCATTCCTAATTGAGAGTGTGCTAACCCCAGAGGAGTGCGCCCACGTCATCAGCATCAGCAAGGATAGGCTGGGATCTTCGCTGATCGGCGCTGTTGCTGGCAAGTCTGGGGGTTTCGAATCTCAAACCAGAACCTCGAAGATGACATTCATCAGCCGATCCACGTCGAAGGAGCTGGAAGCCATGCATCACAAGTTTGCGGACATCCTCAATGTCTCCGACAAGGAGCTCCGGCTAGCAGGCGAGGACCTCCAAGTTGTCCGCTACGAGCAGGGCCAGGAGTATGCCCCCCACTACGACTACACAAGGGGAGGAAACGTGGACCGTCTGGCGACTCTGCTGGTCTACTTGGGAGATGGCGGAGGCACCATCTTTCCGCGGGCATTCGACGATCGCGGCTTGATGATTCATCCCAAACAGGGTGACGCGATCCTGTTCTATTCGCAGCTGCCCGACGGTAACTTGGACGAGCTGTCGCTGCATGGTGGCATGCCCGTGGCGAAGGGCACCAAGTGGGTCTGTAACCTCTGGCTGCACTCACACAGCGATCGCCGGTGGAATGCCCCCAAGCCCGAGAGACCCGAGCTATAACATATCAGAGATCCTCGATGCCACAGCAAGGAAAACAGGTTCTTTGCTTATCGGGCCACCAGGCTCTAAATCGTTATGCGGTCCGTTGTTCCCGCTCATTCGCCCGGTTTGTGGCCGCTGAGGGACCGCCCGGCCCATGCTGCCACGAGACTGTGACCGGTCGGTCCACCGCCCGTCCTCCCCCGCTGGCGAAACCACCGGCAGGACGGCACGCAGTACGGCTTGGTGCAGAAGTCAGGCGGCGTCGCCGCCGCGTCCGCTGCTGACTGCCGGGTCCTGGGCTGCCAGCGTGTTGCCGAAAACCTTCCGCCGATCTTGTTTCAAACGCAAAGTTGGCAGGCCAAGTCTGTGCCTCGGGAGGCCCTTCCAGCCCCCGCGACCCACAAAGGTTAGGATGCAGCTCCTGAGAGGTCAGGCTCAGTATCGGCGCTTATGTATTTTCTGTCGCACAGCCTCATCCATCCAGCTGAGCGCTGGTTTTCAATCGGTCGAAATCGGTTCAGTATTTATATATATATATAGAGAGAGAGAGAGAGAGAGAGAGAGAGCCCCTCGATCGGGCTGAATGGCCGCCCCTGTCTGGCAACACGCGAGCCACAGCCCCGACGTCGTGATTTTGTCAGTCCGTGGGCCTGCAGAGGTTTTGGCACCTTCCCCGGGACCGTTTTTTTGCATTTTGTTGATTCGACGGCCCCGGGGCCGCGAGAGGCCCCGGGCCGAACACGGCCAAAACCATTCTCGGTGGGCCGCCCGCTCTGGGGCCACCTCGGCAGAGGCCGTCGACGCGCGGAGCCGCCCGGCGCCTGAGTTCCTGCGCGGGGGTGGGGGTTGGGGAATGATGTCTCGGAGGGAAAACACACAGACACAAAGAATCGACGATTCTCCAGAAAATATTGAACGTATGGAGGTGGAGGGGAAGACGAACATCCCGAAAATGTAGAGCATGTGGGGAACCCCTGGGATTTGTGTCTGTCTATTGGTGTGCTCCTGGTTCCCTTCGGTGTCGGTCACGCTGTGCCCTTGCGCGGTGGCGGGAGAGGGGTCCTGGCCACCACAAGTGACTTCGCCAGAGTGGCCTGCAGTGCGCGGCCTCCGGGTGGCCGCCCAGGCCAAAGCCAGGCACGCAGGCCACTGCCGCGCCGCTGGAGGACCCCTCGGGCGCAACGTCGCTCGGACCAACGACCCCGACCCAGTCACCCGACGTCGTGACCGTTGGCTCCATCGCGAGCCGCTTTCTGATGGCGCTGGGGCCGGGCAGGGGTAGCAGAGGCCGATCACAGTCCGTCTTCTGACGGCCACGGGTCAGAACCCCGAGTCATCAGGGCTTGGGGCGGTCAGGGATAGCCACAGACTCGCGCCTCGGGGGCCAAGACTAGAATTACCCCCAGACCACAATGATCCCAGATAATTCGAGGGTCCAGCCCTCCCGCATCATCAGGGCTTGGAGCAGGCAGGGGTAACTACAGATTCGCGCCTCGGGGGCCCAGACTGGAGCTGCCCTGGATAATAGTTATCTCGGACAGCTCGGGCGTCCAAAACCGTGCCCGGCTAGGGCCGAGACCGACCATAGTCCCTGTACCGTTGTCCGCGTTCTTTCTTGCGCGAGGTCGCGTCTTCGGGGGACCTCCTCTGTCCACTCTCTGGTCCCCAACTTTCGTGTCTTTTCCCGTGCCCGGCGCGGGCTCGATGTGGACTCGACGCAGATTTGGCGCGGATGCGACGAGTCTGATATGGGTTCGACAAGGACTCGACGCGGATTGGGGCGCGACGGGACAGACAAGGTGCCCCAAAGATCGAACATGACACGGGCCCCGCGGCCGTCTCGGCCCCGCCCATGATCAGGGGCCGCCCCCCTCGCGGGCGAGCCCACTGCTCAGCCCTCGACCCGCTCCTTCCGCACCTCCCGCGAGGCAGGTGCCGCGCTGCCGCGGCCGCCGCCATGGGCGCAGCGGCCACCGTCGAGGCCGCAGCGGTCGCGGCCGCGGGCGGTGCCACCCTCCGCGCGGAAGGCGCGGGAGGTGCAGGTCGAGGGCGTTCGGTGAGCAGCGGGCGATGCCCTCTCTCCGGCGGCCGCCTTCTGCGCCGCGGCGCCCGAGGGCTGTGGGGCGGCGCCCGCGGCGACTGGGCGCCGGCAGCGCCGGGCCGGCCCATGGCGCGGACCTCCGCGCGGCCTTCGTCGGGCGCTGCTGCGAGAAGGGGCGCCGGGGCCAGCAGCGTCGCTGCGCTCATGAAGGAGTCGGGTTGCGCGAAGGTCAGAGGAAGGCAGCGCCGCGTCCTCCGCTGTTTCTGGTTGGCTTTGGACCTCTGGGCCGCACTCCCGTACCATCTGGTCAGGGTTCCGACGAGAAGCGCAGGCAGCTGCAGTATGTTTGGTGTCGCCCAGATCTTGTGGGTGATTCATTGGCTTACGCCGCACCGCCGACCCCTTGGGGCGGCAGCAAGAGTGAAAGACGGAGTTCGCGGATTGCGCGCGATCGCTGGGCAGTCTTGGGGCTTCGGTCTTTCTTACGTAGCGGTTCAAGGGGGGGCCTTGTAGGGGATTGTTTTTATGTTTTTCGTGGTCTTATGTGGTTTTTTTTTGGTTTTCGCGGGGCCTGTCCTAGGCCTCCTCTTCCACCCCCTGGATAGGCTCGGGGATCGTTGAGACCCAGCTGGGGGTGCGTCCGGCCAGAAGTTCGAGAGTGGACCCAGCTGTGTCGACGATGAGCTTCCTGAAGGCCCAGAGGGGGCGGAGGGCGCCCAAGAATTAGGAGTCTCATGCCTCGAGCCTCGATCCACCCCGTGCGCCTTCGCTTGCGAAGGGGCGGCACCGGCCAGTAAGGTCGATCCTCATCCCAGACCCTCGGTGATGGTCCCAGGCACCGAGAACGGTTCTTGGACGCCGATTTCGAGGAAATGCCTCGGGTGGCTTCAGGAGGGAAAGAAACACACAGACACAATTAATCGGCTATCCCCAGAAAATATGGGAAAATATGGGAAGTGGGGGGGAAGACAAAAACCCAGAAAATATGGGAAAATATGGGGGATACTTTTATTTGTGTGTATTTATTTGTGTGTCCCAGTTCCCCTTCATGGCTAAAGGACCACGAAAATATGTGAGACGTCGGTGGCGACGACGTGATCTGTTATTTTTGTTCCTCCTCCTCCATGTTGCCATGTTGCCAGCATGCGAGGGGAGCTCCACGCGCGCCGTGGGCCCTGCCTGGCAACTACCTCCATATCTCAGGAGGGAAAGAAACACACAGACACAATTAATCGGCGATTCCCCAGAAAATATGCGAAAATATGGGAAGTGGGGGGGAAGACAAAAACCCAGAAAATATGGGGGATATTTTCATTTGTGTGTATTTATTTGTGTGTCCCAGGGCCCCTTCAATATCCTCTTGTGAGAGGCCCCGCCAGCGCTGGCGCAGTCCTCTTGTGAGAGCATGTCAAGGGGGGAGGGCCAACGTAAAACACCCTGGGGGGGGTCGCCCTTTCAACAGTCTCTCCTTAGCGCGACGGCCCGTACTCGTGGGGGCCTCGCACTGTGCACGCAGCTTGATTGCCTTGGTATTTCCCATACCACCACACCTCCCGCAAAATGCGACTCCCCGAAAAAACATGCAGCTGGGAAAGGTGGGAGGTGTGGTAGCCCTGCGCATTATTCACCGTGCATGGCCGCTTCATCCAGGGGGCTTGGGTGTCAGTGGGCGAGTAACGAAAACAGATTCGACTCCGAAGCCCCTGGGCGGTCGTCTCAAAAACATGCTGGGCCCGACCCCTCCTTGGGGGTCTGGGCTGCTTGACTTTCTTTGGGGGAGGTGGCGGTTTAAAGTCCCGCAAAAGTCAGACTGTATGGTGGCTAAGCGGGCAGAGATAAGCTTCATCTCCTCATCCTCAGCATCTATCTGTTCGAGGACGTGGTCAGGCAATTGGCAATTCTTAGTGGCCTCCTCGGCCACTCGGTCAGCAAACTGGTTGGCCAGAAAAGCCCAGGAAAGGATATTATAAACATCCCAGTCATCACAGGACGGGTGTGATTTTGTCTTGTGAAACTCGTTGGGTCCATCATGGGCCGAACAAAGCATTCCAAACATTTATCCAGAGGTCAACATTGGACCTCTGTCGCCAATCTAGCCCCCGCTTCACTGCACGATATACGCAGTTCGAGTCGAGGACCAGGGTAATATCGCCCTGGACGTGGGTGATGGCTTGGATGGCGGCGTACAGTCCTCTTCTGTTGATGGCCTGTGTCCCTGGCAGGCTACCTTTAAGAGTACCGATATTCTCCTAGTCAGGCACAGGAACTCCCTCTCCCCAACCAACACGTCGTTTCCTAGGGTCCTTGTTGTGTGGACCTCCACTCGCGTCAGATCCAACCAGCAACTTCCTATACATTTGCAGATCCTGGAGGAGGAAGGTTGCCGAGGCTGTATGGATGGGTATGGGGGGGGGAATCGCTCCGTGAGTCGTTCGGTGTACTCGTCAGGCAACAGGGCTCTTCCCCACTTGGTGGGGCATACACCTTAGGCGATGCTTAAGAAAACCTAAGTTTTCGTCCAGAGTCTCGATTATTCTTAACTTTTCAATGTAAATCCTAGGATTTTGATAAAAGTTCTGGGTTTTTTACTCAAGTTCTGAGACTCTGAGTTTCTTAACCCATGATTTCTTAAGCATTTCGCAGGGTGTACCTGGGAATTCGCCACCGCCCTTTGAACAAGGTGAGCGGAGTCCAAAACAGCTCGCTGGTTACTCTCAGCAAGCTCCGGGCATGCACGGAGCCTGGTGCATGTCCAAACAGATCCCCTGCTAATGGTGTGTAGGGCCCTGGGGAGGGGAGCCCGTGCAGGGGTGTTCTTGTCAGCCACTTGTGCCTCTAGCTTGCGTCGATGCTGACAGACGAGACGATGGCTGTAGATGTCGATGCCCCTCTCGGATCCTCGTCCTAGGCGAAAGCTGGCAGCTTTCTTCCACAAATGTTTGGACATGACTGGAAATCGCCTCCATAACAATGTCCTGGTTCTTGAGGTCCCCTGGCTGCAGTTTGTACCCCTGGTCCCCTGGGAGACTTCATCCCCATGGGCCCACTGGGTAGATGTCCAAATCGAGGAGGGTGGCGATAGTTGCGGAGAAAGAGACGTGACCTTGCCCCAGCGAGTCTTCGAATTAGATAACCTTCCATCCGTGGCGGTCCACCGCCTGCTAATGAGGGCGTGTAAGTTGGGTTCCTGGTTGACCAGGTCAAACCAGGCCTCGAAGAGCTGCACTGGAAGGTAATGGGCAGAACCCTCCTGCTCCTGACCTCTCACCCAGAGGCCGACACCTGCGGTGGTACATCCATACTTGGGAACATGTCCTAATCCTCGAACTAGACGTCCTCTGAGCTGTCGGAGGGTAGTTGGAGCAATCCTTTGGCCTTGGTGTCCCCAGAAGATCTGCGGTTTGGCCCCAGTTGAGACCAACTTTCGGGTTTTCTTGATACCTTTAGCGAGCCTTGAGATGTTGAGGAGCCTCTTGAGCTCCTTCTTGATACGAGCCTTCCTGGTAGTGAGTCGCCTCCGACGCCCAAGAGTAGTGTCCAATCCTAGATCTCGTCCAACTTGTTGGGTCCGAAAGTGGTGACCTTTCTGACTGAGCCTTGTGAGGATCCCCTTGCTGAGATTCCCGTTGGAGGAGATGATGCACGATTTCGGAGACAGTCGGCATCCCCTTTGAAGTAGGGCAGTGGCCAGGAAGTGAATAGCCTCTGGGCCCGCGGCAGTTCCGGCCGCCTTTTCAGAGATTTGTGGTTGAACAGTTTTTGTTTTTGATCGGTTTCGGTCTCTCGGGGCCGTTGCTGGGCCCCACAGGGATTTCAAGACCAGACGGACCTGGGGCGAGAAATTGCATCAGCGGACCTGGGGAGAGGTTCGGGGAACGAACTTGCGCAGAGTAGCCCGTCATAGTCGGGAGGTTTGTTGTGGTTTGGGGGTATCCGACCCACCCCCTGTCGCCGCGGCTGGATGCATTCGGGAAAACGATTGCGACTGGATTCCGAGAAGGGTCTGGGGGGTTCACGGTGAATGGCCGTCTCTGGACCTGGGGTCATTCGTGGGCATTGCGGATCCCCGTCAGGGCCTCTTAGGTGCATTCAGGCGCATTTTCATGTTTCCCTGGGGCGAAGTGCTCGGCTTCTCCAGTAAGGTGTTCCTTCTTACCCTCCTCGTGGGGCCGTCCTGGGACTCTCCCTGGTGGTTTCGGGGGCCGTTTTGGGACACGCTTGCGCCGTCTGAAAGCCTTGTTAGGGGCATGCGGGTGCTTTTGGGTTGATATTGTTTTCTTTGGGCTGCTGTGGGACTCGTGGAAGATCAAGAAGCGAACGTGTTAAACTTACTAGATGTTTCCCTTCAGGAAGGGGCCGAGGTTTGGTTCTGCCGGGCCTCTTAGGACGCGTCCTGGTGGCGTGTTGGGGCGTCTAGGCGGTTTCAGGGGTCAGCTGGAGGCAATGGCGGGCGTTTGGGAGCGATCTCCCATTGTGGGACCCATTTGGAGACTTTTTGGGGGCCGTCCTGGGTCGGTTTGGTGGCTTCTGGGGCCTCTTGGCGCCCATTTGGCCCGTCTTGGGGCCCTCTTGGGACCGTCCTGCTGCTCTCCAAGGCCGTTGCTATGGTTTCTGGGGCCTTCGTGGGGCGCCCGGAGGCCGTCTTGGAACCCTCTTGAAAGCCTCTGGGGCTGCAAGGGGTCGATGTTGGATTCTTCTTGGGCCGTGATAGGCCTCGTGGAAGCCCAAAAGGCGAGTGTGCTGGAAATGCATGCCTGGGGAATGGGGCGATTTTTTGCTCTAGGAGGCCTTCGTGGAGCGCCTCGTAGTAACTTTTTCAAACGTCTCAGGTACCTATGGGGAATCGTCTGCAGGCAAGCTGGGGCGGCTTGGCCCGTTGTGGGGCTCTCGTGGTGCCGTCCTGCGACTGTCCTGGGCCGTTGCTGTGATTTCTGAGGCCTTCGTGGTGCGCCCGGAAGCCGTCGTGGAGACTTTTTTGAGAGCCTCTTGGGGTGTCGGGGTCGAACTTGGTGGTTTACTGGGCCGTTGTAGGCCTTGTGGAGGCCCAAGAGGCGAATGTATTGAACATGTATGTATTCCTTAGGGAATGGGGCGATTTTTTCTTCTGGAGGCCCTCTTGGCGCGCCTCGTGGACGCGTTTTCAAACGTCTTGGGGGCCTATGGGGCCGTCTGGAGGCAATCGTGGGCGGTTTGGACCGAATCGCCCCCTCCG